CAATCTATGGTTGGTGCAAAGTTAATGCACTTGGCCACTAGCTGAAAGGTTAGAGATTTGAGACTACTCAGAGATACCTCAAAAGAAAGGCCCGGTGATGTACTTACAAAAAATCAGCCACCGAAAACCCTATGGGAGCTCTGGTGGTGTAGTGCCTAAGACATATGACTGCTAACCAGAAGGCTGGCGGTTCAAACCCACCAGCCACTCCTCTGAAGGAAGACTGGGCAATCTACTTCTGTAGTGATACTGCTTGGAAACCCAAGGAGGAGTCACTATGAGTCAGGTTCGACTTGACAGCAGTGAGTTTGTTTGTTGGTTTAGAAAACCCTATGGTGTATAGTTCTATTTTGACACATGAGAATAGTCCTATGTTGTCACCATGAATTAGAATTGAGTTGACGGCAACTGGTTACCGAATCCGTAACGGCAGCATAAGCACCGCTAGTAATAGCTATTTGCCTAAAAATGACAATTACTACTCTTTTGAAGCTTCTTTTAGGTGTAATGATAAAAGACATTCTTATTCGGTGGTTCTCCAGCCAGTTAAACATCAGAATCTCCCAGAGAGCTTTCTGAAAATACTCATGCATGGGCCTTGCCTTCAGATATTCAGATGCAGTTGGTCTAGAGGGGTCTTGGCAACAGTGTTTTAAAAACTCCCCAGGTGATTCTACTATGCAGTCAGAACTTTAAAAAGTTCCAATATGCAGGGTGCACCTCAAATAAGCTAATTAGAATCCTTAGGGGTGAGGTCCAGACAAAAAGTTTTTTCTTTTTTTAATTTAAAAAAAAAGAACCCCCAGTGATTTCAATGTATAGCAATAGTTGAAAACCACTGGCTTAAGGATTAAGTTGCCTGGCTTAAGGATTAGGGTGTCAACTGTCTTTCTTCTACCTTCCTTCTTGAACCAAGTCAGTCCTATATCATCACTGTAGTAGGGTCTTGATCACTAATAAAGAATTCTAGGACTTCTGATAAGATGGAGGAATAGGCAGACAAGTGACACAGACCCTCTTTACCAAAGAAAAGAAAAACCAATTGACAGAGATACAGCAGATAATCCTGGAGCCCTGAGCTTTGAAAGGAACTATAAAGAAGTGGGTTAGGCACCAACTAGTGGAAAAACCTGAATGAAAACAGTGAGTACAGAGATGGTCGGTGCTGTAGAATGTCAGCTACTCTGATGGGACCAACAGGTTGAATATTTCCAACTGGTGTTGGGACCTGAGAATTGACCTAAAGATCACCCCTGGTCACCAAGGGCTGCAGGGACGACTGCACTGGTGACCTATGACTAGGAAGGGAAACAGCAAGGAGGAAGACAACCTGAGCTGTTGACTTTCCGCTGTCTGGAGGGTGTAGCCATTTGGATTGTTTACACGTGGCAGCCATTTTGGATATATAAAGTGACTGAGGGTGCAGCCATTTTGAATGTTTATAAGTGGTAGCCATTTTGGATATTTAAAGTGACCGAGGGCACAGCCATTTTGAATGTTTAAAAGGTGCGGCCATTTTGGATATTTAAAGTGACTGAGGGTGCAGCCATTTTGAATCTTTACAAGTGGCAACCATTTTGGATTTTAAAGTGATAGCATTCTCATTCAGATTCCAGGGGCCTAAGAATAGGCTCTGTTTGCCAAGGTCAGCAGGGACATAGGAGAGGCTGACAACAGGAAAGGAGACAGGTGATGAGCATGTAAGTTCTGTCAACTAGCAAACAGAGGAGCAACAGTACCCTGCTCGTGTAGATAACACACAAACAAAACAAAGAAAATGAAAATCGTGGGCAAGTCACTCTAACATAGGATCATCAATTAAATATAAACACAAAATTGTCACAATGCCTCGGAGACAATAGAGCATCATAGTCCACACAAAGAAGCAAGATAAAGCAGGAGAAACAAGGGCCCAGTATACAGACCCAAAACACATCCCTGAGGAAGACGCAGCATTGGAACTCCCTGATAAGAAATTCAAAAGAAATATACTTAGGTATCTTCAATGAATTGAGAGACAGACCAAGGAAAACACAGAGAAAATCCTAGAACAATTTCAAAAGACAATACAAGAACAAAATGACAAAATAAATGAAAAATTAGAAATGATACAAAATTTACATACAGAAATCCAGAAGATTAATACTAAATTTTCAGAGATAGATAAGACATTGAATGGGCAAAGGAGCAGAATTGAATCAATGGAAGGCAGAATTAGGGAGATTGAAGGCAAATACATGAACACTTTTCTGGAAAGGGATCAATCAGAAAAAAGATCAAAACAAAGTGAAGAAAGCCTAAGGTTCATGTGGGATATCATCAAAAGGAATAACCTACGTGTAATCGGAATTCCAGAACAGGAAGAGAAAAATAAAACCACAAAGAAAACTGTGGAAGATTTGTTGGAAGAGAATTTTCCTGGTATGATGAAAGATGAGAATATATCCATTCAAGAAGTCCAATGAACCCCAAACAGGATAGACCCCAAAAGAAAATCACCCAGACATATCATCATCAAACTTACCAAAACCAAAAACAAAGAAAGAATCATGAGAGCATCATGGGAAAAATGAAAAGTTACCTACAAGGGGCAACCAATAAGACTAAGCTAGTATTTCTCAACAGAAACCATGCAGGCAAGAAGACAATGGGTCGGTATATATAAAACCTTGAAAGAGAAAAATTTCCAACCAAGAATTACGTACCCAGCAAAATTGTCCCTCAAATACCATGGTGAAATTAGGACATTTCCAGATAAGCAGAAATTAAGGGAATTTGTTAAAACCAGACAAACCTAGTAAGAGATGCTAAAGGGTGCCCTTTGGACAGAGAAACAACAACAGACAACAACAACTGATCATTAACACACATGATGACATAAAGAAACCAACCCAGCTATGGAAATATCCAAAGTAAATAAGCCTACAAAATTGTAAGCAGGGAACC